GAGAGAGAGAGAGAGAGAGAGAGAGAGAGAGAGAGAGAGAGAGAGAGGTAGAGAGCGCGGAAAAAATGTTCATTCAAATCGAAGCCACTTACTCGATGCTTATCACTCTCAACAACACATTCAATCGTAATCGTTTCGCAGTGATAAATCGTCTTCATCTTTCTAAGTCATTGTTTTGGCTGAGCAAACAAACATTTCAATTAAACACACATTTCGGATGTTTGTGAATCTGTTTGCCGTTCGGATTTGCGTTCTCTTTCCCCTTATGCATTGTGTGCTTTGCCAAATCGATTGTTATTGGAATGGTAATAACAAAAAGGGACACATTTTGATTAATTGCGACAAAGCGTCAAGTTGACACTTGATGCTTTGACATCAAAATTTTTTTTTTGTCAACCATTTTGAACAAAGCAATTATATGATGTTCATTATATTTTCCTGGATTCTCAAAGGCAATTTTCAACTTTGAATTCATTGCGTTAATTGTTACCACAATCGGTGAGAGTTGTGTAAAAAGAAAGATCTAGCAAACGCATTCTCCTCATATTAAAAAAAACTTGACATAATTGACATGATCAATGACACGCATTTTCAATACATATTGATCACCGCTGCTAAGACAGCTAATATTAGCACTTAAATCTCCCTTAAACCATGTTAGCAGAGAATGAATCTATTACTTCGACCGAATCATAATGAAATCAATGCTTGTCACAGCCAACACTTGGATGTGTTTAGCCAACGCATTATTTTGAATCTGAAGTGTATGTATGTGTCTGCTGTAGACGCCAATAATAATCCATTTGAATCGTGCATACGTGATGCCTTTCAATCTTACATAATGCTAAATAATGCGTTTTTTTTAAATCATTTCGATACTGATGACGCAAATCCAAAAGCCGAAAAAAACACATACATATGGCAAAATCATAGACTTTCAACCTAAAAGCTAAGCTCGCCGAGTATGAGTATAAATTTATTTTCCGTTGTGAATAATAATTAACAAAACGTATCTAGGTTTGTCTTATATAAAAAACACACATCATTATATTCCAGTGAAACAAATGAGCGGACGCGCGCGCATCAAGAGCAGAAGGGAATTTTCCATTCATCATCGTTATGTCAATTACGATGAAAGTAACTCATCATTTAAACCGTTATTCCTGATTTGCCATAAATGCGAAATGCTTATTTGCCGATTGGCAATCAAAGTCATAAGCAATAATGCCAGTAATAGAGAAATGCAATTCTATGTAGTAAACAGCTAAGTCCACGATGACTTTTTGCTGTTTTCTCAGTCAATGACAGATAGCTGAGGATATATGCTGAGCATAGATACTCAGCAAGCTGAGATTGGTATATTTAGATTTTGTGACTTCCCTGCCATGCAAATTCATGTGATAAGATGAATTTATGACAGAAAATTTCATGAAAAGCATCGAAAAATGTGTACCAGATTCATCTTATCACATGAATTTGCATGGCAGGGAAGTCACAAAATCTAAATGTACCAATCTCAGCTTGCTGCGTATCTATGCTCAGCATATATCTTCAGTTATCTGTCATTGACTGTTTTTTTCTCTTCAAATTCGACCGCCTCATGCAAGTCAGACATGAATACAATGAGATTTCATTAAAATATTCTACTTACCGGCTTTTCTACGCCAGTGAACCGGAAGATTAGTGTTATTATTACAGGCAGCCAGTGTGATGGAATGAAATAAAAATCCTGGTAAAGATAGAAAAAAAGGGAAACGAAAAAAGAAAATTATTGTTTTTGTCAAAGATCAATTATGCATTTATTAGATTGTAACGAGTCTGCAAATATTTAAATCAAATTGCTTGCCAATTCTAGATCAGAGGTTCTACTTTTTTATTTCTGCGATCAAAGATCAAATGAAACAACGTGTTTTTCTCTCTCTCGCTTCAACACAGACAAAAAAACCAGTTGTTGGATCATAAATGGCAATTAATTAAACTAGTAATTCCTATTTCCCAATGAATTTTGACCGGGGGATTTGAGAAGAAGAAAAAAAAACTGCTAGTAATCGATTGCATCCATTGAACTTATTCGTTTTTTTTTTTTTTCAACTCATAGACAAAACAATGATTGATTTGTGTTACACGTCTTTTTGGCATGCAAATGAGCAAGAAATGTGAATGAGATAGAAAAAAGGTTAGGAGCGTAGAAAAAATGGCATATATGAAAGGTAGCTTCGTTCAAAATGATTTTGGACGGCTTTTGTTTGCATTCAATGGGTGTATATGTGTGTTTGTGTCTCTGTCTGATTCGGGTGTGTGCTTTTCGGTGTGGTTTTGTGTACGATGCTCACACACACATTCAACTAAATGTTAATGTATCAAAAAAAAAAAAAACCAAATTGGTTAGACTATTAATTTGGTTTGATGTGTGAAATATGCATCAAAAGCCGTTCGACGAGTTTACAATTTGCGATAATGTGTTTCGTTTTTTTCGTGTTATTTAACATGGTAACAGATATGTTACCCGTCATCGAACGAGAGATCGGAGTCAAGGGAGAGCGCATTTAATTTGAATGTGAGCATGCCAATTTATATGATTTGAACGCGTGTTACTGTTGACACGCCAGATGATAGTTGCTGTGTTATTATCGTTGATATTGCTGCTACTGCTACTGCTATTGCGGTTGATTGTGTGTGACAATGAAAAATAAAAGAAGAAGAAGCAAAGCAAAACAAAACAACAAACCCATTCAGGCAATTTTGGAACTTTCGATACGAATTGATTGAGGAAAATTAAGCGGAGGCTAAGGAAAAAAACGGTGCACACACATCCATTGATTGCGATTCAAAACAGCCTGGATCTACGACACAATACACGACGGCATCGCACAGAGAAGCACATCACACACACATTTACACACACACACATGCACACAATATTGCAAAGCAGTATCAACAAAACAGATGACAAATGGAACGTATTACTCATTGACAATTTCACTTCGTACATAAGAACATAATTTGGAATACATGTGTTCGTCTATATAGCACCATGTATAACCTATAATCTCTTGTCTGTTTCGTTTGCTATTGCTTTATCGCCGTTGTTGTTACTGCTCTTTTTTGCCGTCTTCATTTACTCACTAAGTTTGCAATGTCGCACCTAAGCTCTTTATATGTGTTAAAAAATGAGATTGAAAGAAGGTGTGTTTAGTTTAAAATGCAGTTGAAAATACGGTCGATCGTATGGATTCTTACATGTTTCACCGAATTTACATAGACAAGGACAAACAGTGCTTGCTCTTTTAGCGATATATTTTTCTTACTGTCGCTAGAGCTGCCTCCACCAGAAGAGAAAATGAACTGTCGATTCTTACTCGTTCTAACAGAATATCGATAGATTCTAATGGGTGTTTAATAGTGTATTGGAAGGTTTATTTTTTTTTCTCGTTTAAATTGGATTAGAAGGTGAAATGGCACACACACTTATATATATATATATATGAGTTTCCTTTTGAGGCCGAGTGTTTATCTTTGTGAGGCAAACAAAATGAGGTAACCACAATAAGTCATGAAGTCCGTTAACGAACCGTAAATTTCACACACAGTGGCAAACACACTTGTTCGTTCAATGAGCTCGAAACGAATTTAAGACCGTATCCTATACACTACGATTATAATTGATTACTTCGCGATTATCGCATGAACGAAGGAAAAAAAAATATCAACGAACGATTGAATAAGTCGATTTTTTGTGCATGAGTAAAAAATTTTTTCCCTAAAACGTAGAGACTTTTTTGGTTTCTCCTTTCATTCGATAAATGAAGATCATCAGTTCATTCAAGGTTTACACATATAATGTGCTCAATTGCTTTTTTGTTTTCATTCAGATGTTTGACACACCACTTAAATCCACTAATCAGAGTTTTATAGAAGAAGAAATCCCCACGTTCACATACACATCCAGAGAAAAAAAAATGAAAGAAATAGAAGACACAAAATTCGTCGATGTGACTGTATTTTAGCTCTTGTCTTTTATTTGATTTTAATCATGAACTTTTTTTTTCGCATTCAGTATTTTTCCAGATATATGTATATATTCACTTCTTCTTGGAGTATGCCGCGTCGTTTCTCTTTTATAGATGTCTTTTTTGTCTCTCACATGTGTATACTCTTCTTCTCTCGCTGGTTCTATTTTTCATGCGCTGCCTTTTTTATTTTGCGATTAAATACTCTTTTTTTTATCGTTGTTGTCGTTGTTGTTCGTCACTAGTTTATTTGCACTAACGTTTTGTCACTTGTTTTGTCCATTAAAAAATGAGACGTCAATTTCGTTCGTTCTTGCGTTTATTCTTCAAAACGAAAGAGAGAAAAAAAAAGCATTATCAACAAGAAGAGCACGCAAATGAAAAACACACTGTACATAACTGGAAGTGTGACAATTGTACGCGAATATTCCAAAACGCCACCAATGAACAATGAACGACAATCGATATAATGGGGCTAACACAATGATCGTTGAAATGTTTGTTGCTTTCTTCTTCTTTTTTTTTTATTCCATTTTGCAAGAAAGTCAACAACTTAATAATGATTGCAATGAGCAATCAAAACACGAAAATTTCCAAATGTTTTACTTGTTGCTTTTCAACTCTGAACGATCACTTCGGAGACGCACACTAAAAAACACAACAGACGGAAACGAACACGAAAATTGCTCAACAGATCAGAAAGAAAAAAAAAACATACAACAAGAAATATACAACGATACGCGATATGCTAAGTGCGCGAACGATTTACATAGACTGAAGTAAAGCAGTCACGATGGCTTTTGCTTTGGCGAATTCACTTGGCACGTTCATGTGCTTATATGTGAGTTAATGCGCGCGACAGGAGACTGCAGCCAATTCCATGCACACAACCCGTGACATTGGTCCGACTGTCATCATTTCGCATTGACTTACGACATCATCATTGAACGTGAAATGCTCATTTTTTACATAATTTCTGGCAAAATTAGCATAAATCATCGCAAGATTTGTCCGAACCGAAAATTTTGGCGGAATTTATGGGAAATTCGTGATAATTTGGAACGCTTTGCGGACTCTACACGGACCATTTTCGAACAGGTTTCCGTTGAACGCGTCGCTGAGCACGTCGTCGTAGTCGTTGCCGCTATATACATTTTAGCCCGTGAAGCGTGTAAATCGTAGACTCGGATCGCAGCCTATCCATGTGCTTGAATTGTCAAAGTGTGCTACTGGGATCATCAAAAATCGTTGTATGCTCAGTTTTATTCGTGCGTGTCGTCGTCGTTGTAGTCGTAGTCGCGTGCATGAGTGTGTGTGTATGTGTATGTGTGTGTGCGTTTGCGATATTTCCGAATGTTTCGTATCAAGTAAGATTCTTGCATTGGAGCCACAATTATAAATTGTACTAGTTGCTTTCTTGTTATACTATTGTGTAATTTCTTTTTTGTATATCGTTCGGTACAACACGTTACAACAAATACTGTTTGCGACCACACAATCTTGCTTCTGCTCTCTCTCTCTCTCTCTCTTTCTCTCGCTTCCCTTCTCTCTCTACCTTTCCGTATAGAATATACACATATCCAGTTTTTTTTTCTCGCTATTGATGGTTTTCATCTCGCACAATACACAATGTAATGCCTGCAAATTTTGTTTACGTTGAAACAGCGGTTTGTCGTCGTCGTTGTCTTCGTCGTTATTATTATTATGATTATGTTCCAGTGTGCGATTAGAATTTTCGCTGGCATCACACAGAGAGCATGTAATTACACACAAAATGAATGCCTAACAAATAAATAGAATGCGTCTAGGAATCTGCAGAAACAGCACTTTTTGATTTTTCTGGATTATCAACATGTTATGATGATGATGATACAAGGCAAATGTAATGAAAGGCAGTCTTTAAATCATCTAAAATTATCAGTTTAAGCCAGTTGCGTTCTCATTCTAACTCTCTGTCGCCATGTGTTACTCACGCTCTATGTGTTTTTCACATTTTGCAAATCATCAATTTAAATGTTGTAATTTACGTTGGATGTCATCAAACTTTTGTGCTACTCATTTCGTGGGGAATTTAGTGCGTCACACCGACGACTACACATAACAACGTTGCCAAATGAGAATAGAGAGGAATCAGTGGAAAGGAGAATGAACCGCACTAAAAAGCTGTTAATTAAAAACTGTGAGTCTTAGGTGAAACCACCGAAACAATTCCGATGTTTGAAATTCCCGTGATTGACGCGTGCGTGTCTGTTTCTGTTGCTTTCGGCAACCTTTATTTGTTTTCTTTTTCTTCTTTTTTTTTTGAAGATACGACACGACCTATGTCTAACTGCCCTATATCATGGTTCGATACTGTGCATTTTAAAGGACAAATAAATTTGATTTTTCAAGTGAAACAATTGAATGAATTGAAGATTAGCTTATCTATCGTAGTCGATAATAAGTTATGCAAGAAATAAAATAATTGAACACCATGAGCTTTTCTAGTGAGTTTCTCTTGAACAACAACAAAAAAAAAACCATGCCAACCTTCAACGATAACAATTTATCGAGTTGCATAAATATATTCCTGTCACACAATGTTGTTGTTATTTGTTTGATAATAATAATAGAGAGAGAGAGAGAGAGAGAGAGAGAGAGAGAGAGAGAAATAAGAAAGAGAACCACCTAGTTGAGCGTGATGAGCTCGCTTTATCCTTTAAACAATGATTATTTTTTTCGAATACAGGTCACATACGATAATGTTTTTTTTTTTGTTATTTGTTCGTGGCTTTTTTTGTGCTTTTCTCTCCTCCTCTCTTGCTATGTATTTCATTTCAATTTGATTTTTTTTTTTTATTTCGCGTTTTCGTCAAGTATTAATTTGAATGAACAATCAAAATTGACAATCATTTCAACACATATCATTGCGCACTTACCTTGAATAAATTGAATTAATTTATTGCGTCTGCGTTGCAATATTTCACTTCGTGCGCGAACTCTCTTATATATTCGAGGAATGTAATCAGCGATTTGTTCTTCACTTCACACTTTGAAATGTAATTTTTCGGTTTGTCGACAAAATGATACAGAAAATAAAAAGACAACACAACCACCACACAAGCAAACTATATGTCGATCTATGAAACAATTATAATATATTGTGATGGCCTTTTCCGTTGGCGTGTTGCCGTCGAGGATTCAATTCTGGTCTAAATAAATTTTTTTCACTGACTGAGAATCAGCTATCACACACAAAGCAGCACATTTTGATCTAAGTCATTTCATATTTAGACATTTCGAGTGTAATGCAAATTTGCGTTTTTCTTTCTTATTGACACTTAAGAAAACTAAATAAATAAATTTCACAAAAATTTCCGTTCACGATCATCAAATCAAGAGAAGAAAAAAAAAACGTAACAGATGGTAACAATCAAATTGAAGTTTTCGACGTGTCTGAAAAGAAAAATTGTTCACATTTTCACAACAACAGCGGGCAAAAAAAAAAAAAATAGACGATACGAAAAAGCGCAGTTTCAATTCGCAGCTTTAATGCGTTTATAATGTGGAAAATGTAATGGCAGCGAGATTACAAACAGTTTGTTTTGTGCGCGGAAGCAACCGATCTAAAACAAATACACAATTCAACTGTTTCACTAACATTCACTTTTCAATTTATCGGTTTCTGTTTTGCACGGGCAGCCTTTTGCTATTATGTATTCACTACCGAATGTAATTTGTTGTACTAGACATGTGTTAAAACACTAATTTTTTTTTTGGCACGAGTAGACTAACGATAGAAGCAGCAGCGGCGGCGGTGGAGACGACAGTAACAGCAACATACAACACACTCCTGTCTGTATGTTGTGTGTTTATTTTCTTCTCTCTTTCCCTTTCTCATGCGATGTTCGTTTGTTTCTTGTGTGCCGTATTTGCCGATTGCTTTCGTCTGATTCTGGTGAATGTGCAGGCACACAAATATGTGTTTATTTAAATTTTCTCGTGTGTTATAGGTACGACGCTTCAATTGCGAATTCACATCGCATTCACAGAAAAAAAACCCAGTGCGCGTCTGGTAGCTCGTTTATATCTCTTATCACTTTGCCAGCCGAACGAAGTCTAATCTATCTCGATCCAATTTTGATTCCAATTCGTTGATATTGTGATGAGCTTCAATGTGGATCATTGCTCTATTTTTAGCAAACTAATTTGATTCACGCACTGTTATTGTTTATCACCAACTACTGCCATTGGCCCAACACTTGGCCCACTCGGTCACTGGACACTGTGAGTGTGAATGCGTGCGTGAACTGTTATTGATGTATAATAATTATTTTTTCCACCCTCTTCTCCAAATGACACATAAGAACAAAGGCGTCAAACGAACGACTTTGTTTTTCGATGGAAAAATATATATAATCAAGTTTTATGTAGAAGTGTTTTAATGGCGCCAAGGAAAACAATCATAAAAATTTCATAATAATCACAGTCAATTTTTGCGCAGTAAATATTATACATGTACATTGTAATATTAAAATGTCGTTCGCGCTCATAACATACTTTACCGGCATATAGTATTCTTTCTTGATACAATTTTATTAGCATTGCTAATTCAGAGTATATCTAATCGATGTTAATTGTTTCTTTCTTCTTTGATTCTGTTGAAAGGCGCGGTAAAAACCAGTAGCTCGTGGCAAATGGAAATTGATTAATATTCCTATGAAAACCACAGAATTGCCACTTTCGAGAAGACAATTCGGAGTGCATTGAGTCTGGTCTATTTTTTCCGTTCGTCATGTCAACAGAGTTGTGTGAGGGCATGAACAACGAAAAACAAGTCATTTCCGGTAATGAGTTTATGTCATTCAATTGATACATATGGCATAATAAATTTGAGCTAAATAAGCGTCTGTGGCGTATCGATGAAATGTGAATTTCCATTCCGAAATGTAACCGCGACCGATACGAACTCACCATCACATTGAAAACATACTCGGCGGCTCCACCTAAACTGACATGTTATTCGGGTTCAATTCAAAACATAGACAAACCAATGCAAAATCATATGGTTTAACGTTTCGTAACTTGACTGTCTTACGTCTGGAAATCGATTGGAGTATGCGTAGCATATCTCCAAACCATTTACGTATTTCATCGTGACACAACAACATCTGTTCGTTTCGACAATAAAACCTAGAGAATGGTAGAATAATTCATGTTTTTTTATCACTTCCTCTCGATTATCTGCCTAGATAAGTGTGTCAGACGAGACTGGTTTTTTTATGAAAAATAAAAACACGTGTTAATTTCAATAAATTACATTCAAGTGTTCTCAATTTTTGATAATTCAGCGAATAATTTTCAACGGATATTTCCTTTGTTTACATTTCCCCTTCGAAAACAAATGTCATCGACGGTCAACTCTGTGTACACAAAGACTGGTATGACTTTTGTTTTTTCCATTATTATTAAATAAAATATGGCGTCTTCGTTGGCCTGAATCCAGACAGATGTACGAAATTATTGGTTGAATTGAACTGAATTGGTTTGGAAATTTCGTAAATTTCAAAGTGTATTTGTGCCTACTAAGTCTTTGTGCAAACACAAGTGATATTATTGGATTGAAACAAGAAGAAACCAATCAGCAGTTTGATTTTGAAAAGTATAGACTCGCCCTTTGACACGCAATCAAGTGAATAGAAGCATTGAAAATGCGCTCGAATATTTGTGCATAAGTTGTTTGTGTGATATTTTAACGTGCATTTAAATAGGCATCAACAAAATGAGCATTTCGAATAACAATCACGGTGGTGTGAATGCAAACAATCAAAGTTTGGCTGCTGAAGGTGTCGTCGAAAGAGGAAGGTTTGTAGTAGTGTCATTCAACCAGTGTTGATATCTATCTACAGCAATAGATCCACATATTATATATATCTGTATAGACGAAGTGACATGATTGTTGAACCAATTCGTTTGTTGTTGTTGTTTTTTTTCAGCTGTCTCCTGTTGCGCTATGCCAGCCAAAATTCACTCGATGAAAGTTCACAAAATAAATTGCCGCGCTCGTCCAAGGACAAAACGACGGGCACATATCAAAATGATGAACACACATTCAAGTGCTTCAAAGCGATGAATGAAATGAGAAAGTGAGTTTGCTTAGCAATTAACACTGCCAAATTGGCATCTTAATACCTACTTTTCTTATGGCTCGTTCATTTTTCCAGAGGAAATCTATTCTGTGATGTTACATTAATAGCGGAGAATATGGAAATTCCAGCACATAAAATGGTGTTGGCATCTTGCAGCCCATATTTTTACGCTATGTTTTCCGGATCTGATTTTGAGGAATCACACCAAGACAAAATCACCGTTCAAGGTGTTGATTTTCGTGCACTGCAACTGCTCGTTGAATATGTATACACCTCATACGTCGATGTGAACGAAGATAATGTTCAGGTATTTGCGATTGATTTTAACTTTTCTATCAACTTGATTTACTAATTGCTATTAAAATTGTGCCAATAGACCCTTTTAACTGCCGCAAATTTACTTCAACTGACCGATGTCCGTGATGCCTGTTGTGATTATTTACAAACCCAGCTAGATCCGAGCAATTGTTTGGGAATAAGAGATTTTGCCGATATTCATGGTTGTGTTGACTTGTTGAACTATGCAAACACTTATATCGAACAGCATTTTTCGTAAGCAGATTTTTTTGATTTTTCTCTCTCTCTCTCTCTCTATCCCACTTTCATCCCAAACTCACCATGTGTGTTTTCTGTTCTTCTTTCGATGAATTTCCAGTGAAGTGATTCAATACGATGAGTTTCTCAATTTGACGTCCGAACAATTGTTGTCATTAGTAAAAAGTGACCACTTAACCGTTGCTTCGGAGGAGAAGGTGTATGAGTCGGTTATCAGTTGGATTCAGTTTGACGCACAAGAGCGACGAAGCTACTTACCAAAGCTACTTGAGCACGTACGCTTGCCACTAGTATCGCAAGATTATTTGATGTCACGTGTTGAAAACGAGCCATTGTTGAAAGAGGATTTACTTTGCAAAGACTTTATCATCGAAGCTCTTAAATTTCACTTGCTAAAGGGTGATGCAAAAAATACGTTGACAAAAACAATTCGAACGATTCCACGCCAGCCAATCGGACAGCCAAAGGTTTTGCTGGTTATCGGTGGTCAAGCACCCAAGGCCATCAGAAGCGTTGAATGTTACGATTTAAGAGAAGAGCAATGGTACGCGGCGGCAGAGATGCCATCACGACGATGCCGGTAGGTGTTTTTCCATGAAATTAATTGCATTCTTTTCTTGTCAATACAAAATCATCTAATTTTGTTTTCGTTTTCGTTTTCGATGACATAGAGCTGGGTTAGCGGTGCTAAATGATAAAGTATACGCAGTTGGTGGGTTCAATGGCTCTCTTCGTGTTCGCACTGTTGACGTGTACGATCCAATGAACGATATTTGGTCAACTTCCTGTAGTATGGAAGCACGCCGTTCAACATTGGGTACGATTCATATAAGTTTAAACAACAATTAAAATATGATCAAAAAATCAACATTATTTTTACATATATCAAAGTTTCATTCACGTTGATTCACTCCAATTATTCATCTTTTTTGTGTTTATGTGTGCGAAAAACGCCCAACGTGTTTCACCGTTTCGAAAATAATTTTTGTTCATGAATATTTTATGTCACAAATAACGACTAACTATTGTTGATTTGATTATCGGTAGGTGTTGCGGTCCTAAATGGATTAATTTTTGCTGTTGGTGGTTTTGACGGCGCCACAGGTATTTCTTTTGATACTTTAAACATTTTGATTTGAATACGGTTTTACTTTCAATGGCATTCTGTCAAATAGGTTTAGAGACGGCAGAGGTATTTGATCCAAAGATGGGAAGATGGGCTATGATCGCGAGTATGTCGGCACGGCGAAGCTCGGTTGGAGTGGGCGTTATTCATAACCAACTCTATGCGGTAGGCGGCTATGATGGTTCTTGCAGACAATGTTTGAATAGGTAGGCATTTTGTTTATTTTAAAAGGCTCTCGGAAATTTGTGCCTAGAACGTCAAAGCAATTAACATTTCAATGCTTTTAAGTCAGTAGAACGTCAATGCTGGTAATGAAATTGACGTTTTTGGCGAAAGCAACATAGGCGATTTCGGAGAACCTTTACTCTGTATTTCATTATGACACGCACTATGCTGCTCATTATTGCATAAGGTTATCTAATGAAATTTTATGTTATTTGCAGCGTTGAGCGATACAATGGATTAGAGACAAACACGTGGACAAAAATTGCTGATATGAATGCGCGAAGGTAGAAGCATATTTTTTGTTTGTTTTAGTTTCTATCTCGTGTTTTTATTTTCAATTCCTTTCAAACTACAGCTATTACAACATTAACTGTATGGATTTAATGCTTATTTTCTTTGTTTTTTTTTTATTTTTATTTCATTAAAGGTCTGGCGCTGGTGTTGGCGTTGTTGATAATATTCTGTTCGCAATTGGTGGGCATGACGGTCCACTGGTTCGAAAGAGTTGTGAAAAATATAATGCTGAGCTTGATTCTTGGAGCCCAATTGCTGATATGACTTATCGTCGGCGAAATGCAGGAGTCATTTGTCATGATGGACTATTGTACGTTGTGGGAGGCGACGATGGAACATCAAATTTATCCAATGTTGAAGTTTACGATCCAAAGAATGATGTTTGGCGCATCTTACCAGCTAGCATGGGAATCGGCCGCAGCTATGCCGGAGTATGTATTGTGGATAAGCCCATGTGAAAGCAACAGCAGGGTGCAGCAGCACGGTACGCAAATTGTGGAGACGATGAAAACAGTCAAGCCGAAGGACTGTTTGATGCATCGGCTGGAGTAGCTCGTTCAGAAAACGCACAACAAAATTCCCATCGCAATGCGAGCGCCAGCAATCAAAATAACCAAAATGTAGTTCGAAATCCACATTATGAGAATATTTACGAATCCATTGAGCGAATTAATGCCCCTGCCCCTGCTGAAAATGCCCAAAATGCACAATTACCCGCTGCCGCCGCTGCACCAAACAACAACAACAACAACAGCAATGGCCGCATCAACTTACGCACCCGAAACCACTTCCATTACCACACATCATCACTTTCACATCCACGAGCGAACGGAGGAGCCTATGATGTTCCACGTCATCCGCGAAACTATTATGCTTCGAATGTGAGCAATGCCAATCGTAGAGCCACTTTAGAAGCGAATCCAAACCGAATTCGATATGCAAACGCCAATCGCGCTTTTCGACAACGCAGCTTCGATGACACTGAGTCTTATCATTATTCACGTAACAATAATTTCCGATATGAGAATATCTACGAACAAATTCGCGAAGAGCCAATTTATAGAAATATAGGATTGAACCGTGACAATGCCGTCAATCGATTGTACGGAGGTCGATTAGACGTGATAGGCCATGGTATCGGCAGAATCGAACGTCACCTAAGCAGTAGTTGCGGCAACATCGATCATTATAACCTAGGTGGAACGTACGCAATTCTAGGGCACAGTCATTTGAGTACGGTCGGGCATGTGTACGCATCCGATAATGCCAAAGAAACAGCCGGAAAGAGTCTGAATTTCTTCAGCTGCCTGGGACGAGAAAATTCACAATCGATGAGCAACATTTGCCGTGAATCGAGCAACAACACTGCCGAACAGCCAGTGGCTGGAGCCGCTGCAGTTGTACAACCACCAACGCAGAACGAAAATACGAACAAACACACGGGAGCCATCCCGAAGGTCAAGAACAAAATGCAAAATACAGCACGAAACGCGCCAAATTCAATACATTCCACCGCATTGAATCGCATTTCGAAATCGTCACTTCAATGGCTGTTGATGAATAAATGGCTTCCGCTTTGGATGGGCAACGGATCGGATTGCAATGTGCTCGATTTCAATTTCATGTTTTCACGCAACTGTGATGGTTGCGAAAGAGACGACAGTGTCGTTGTGTACGATGAATCAAATGGTGCTTCGTATGCAAATTGCTATCGAGATTTTGGTCAAGATAATTACTACAGCATATCAAGGCCGATGCGGTACAACAACAGCTTAATGCGATTCAATGAATCTAATCCGCATCGCATGTATCGACCGAACCGACAGCCAAACTATTGCTCAAACGCAGGTGACGCTTCTGGTTATGGGGATTACAACTTTCCAGCACATCCACAGCCAGAAAATCCATTCCGCCGATGGGAACTGAATTCGGAAAATAATTCATTTCGACCAGCTTCGGTGCGGAGAATCACCGACGGAACGTTCCCAAACGGAAATGGTAATAATCAGAGTCAAGGTCAATTACGGAATCAACCGCGACACGAAGTTCGTGTCGAGATCAATCATCAGCCCGTTGACACAAATGCACCAAGTACGTCGTCGGCTGCTCGAGCGATCCCATCAACATCAAATGCCAGCAGTAATGCAGCTGGCAATGCTGAAGCCTCGTCAAGCTCACAACTTCGAGCCGATCAAAGAACATTCGAAAATGCTGCACTAAGCAGCAGCACAGAGAGCACGTCTGAGACTGAAAATAAGGTTCTATCGCCCGATTTGTCAGCCAGACGATATTCAGAGAATACTGAAGATGATCAATACAATAGCGGAAATTCCTCAAGCACTGACGAAGAGGAAAATGATGAAACGATTAGCGAAATGAACACAAATGACACAGACTTCTCAGAACGAATCAATGAGCAGTGATTAATCCAATTAAAAGCTCATTAGGCGCACAACCCAATAATCCATACTTATTTATTCACTTAGAAATTGTTATATATACCCATTCATTAGCAAGCATTCATACATACATTATTAGCTCACTTATTCATTCTCCAAAAAAAAAAACAACTCCATGATTCATATTATACAAGGAATGGTTGTTTTTTCTGTCTCTATATAGTAGTAGTATCTATAAGCATGTATTCAATTATTAAATCGATTTTATTTGAATTTCATTGTTCTTAGGATTTAAAAGCTCAAAATATACACAAGAAAATAATATAATCCGATCGTATTTTATTTTGCAACGACATTATTCATTTTAAATTAAAAGCCATCGCCTAAATGGTGCAGGTGTGTGTGAGTTAAAAAAAACTGAAAGTTCTACTGGAATTTAAATTAAAATCGAAAGTAAAATTGAGTGTTTTTTTCTTCACATTTTGCACAATGGTAGGCATGTCCGCGTGTCTACTGTGCCGTTGTGTATCATGGCACAATGTGAATGGTCATTTCGAGGTTTGCTCTAGATCTGGTTGTAGCGTGAGATTGCAATTGGATATCGTGTTACAAAGAAAAACCCCATTGAGGACCAAACTTAGTCATCTGGTATGGTTTATTACGTGTTTTTTTTTGCACTACATGAAATGTAGAGCTACTAATCTGCCTTTTTTCCTAGATACTTTTTGAGTGTTGAAACAAATTATGGTGAATTTGAATTTTATGCTCATATTTTTTATTTAATTGTAATTCATTTTGCAAATAAATATATTACGAGTTACTAGTTACTTCAAAGTTACTTTGATGAAATACATTTCATGTAGTGCGCCAAAAAATAGTTTGTTGTGAAACAACAAAATAGATTAAGTAACTAAAAACTCAAGAACGTAGAGCGGAGCGAAGCGAAGCTCTGCGGTCTTGTTTTATTCTTGTTGTCGAATGGTTGGATGCATCGTCTAAGTTCTCACGCCAATGACTGCCGAAAGTTCAACCAAATTAATTTCTTTTTGCTGACGCAAAAAAATCCCCTGCAATTTAAATTATTTTCTGCCGGAATTGCATCATCAAATTAAGTGCATATAAACACAACAATAACGTGTCCCCACGTGTGCCACGACACCATGAGTTGACAGTTTTGCTCTCAATCCATTCCGTTGCTTGTCAAGTGTATTTTATTAGCTCTACTGTACGTTGACGTCGAACTTTTGATGTTATCCATAAATCTTACATAAGTTACCTATCCGTTCTAAATAAATCGATCGCGCATATCATGTGTGTGCAATTGGTCAAAATAAGTGACTTTTGCTGCAAACTCGTTTTCAAACAAACAAACAAGCATTTGAAATATGTATGTTTGAGCAAATTGAAACGTTTCGCAGCAAATTTGATTATTCCCGTGTTCAGCTACACCAGATAGAATTTATTGCTTTCAACTCGCAATAAATTTTGAATCAGAGTTGCGAGTACTCGATCCGCATTTGTGTGAATGCTATAGCAATTCTTCTAACGGACACAGAAAACTGTTAAAATATATCGTGTGCAGTCGACAATTTTATTTGAATAAACAAATCGTTCTAACGAATGCGCAAGATTGAATTCTTCGTGTTAACAGAACAGCAAAAACAACAACGAACAGAAGAGAAAAAAAAGTAACAGGCACCCACAGGCTAATGCTATGCTGATAGCGATCAAAACATGCAAAAAAAAATAAAAATTATTCGTAAGAAAACTGTATTGTAACGGAAATTATAGATGCAGATATGAATCACACTTCATACTGCCCGTTTAATTAACTCAAACCGAATTGAACAGAATGACACCTTCCCAATGCTTTATTTCATACTCGAAAAGTGCATGACGTGAATTGCATAAGTGCGTTAACAAGAAGCAAACATGAGGTAGGGCTATTGTTTCTGTTGTCTTTCCTCTCTCAGCAGCCAGCATACACACACAGAGAGAGAGAGAGAGGACGGTCACGTCAGCTGAAAATCATTTTATGGCATCGTAAAATCAAAGCAGGACAGCAGACAGAAGGAATAGAATGAAAAAAAGAAAAGGAACAAAAAATTGGATTTTTCGCGATATAATTTATTTCTTGTTGATCGGTCACCGATCGACAACTGTATGTCATTATTCCATGTTAACTCGTTTGTTGCCTTTGAACACTGATTATATTTTTATTCTCTTAAAAGTAAATTGATTTCTTCGGTGAACCTTTCATGCAAGCCACTTACGTACGTGTATTCGCATAATAAGCAAACTGAACGAAAAAAAAAATCTCCAAAGTACAAATATCGCTAAACACAAGCATTGCCGTTTGCATGACGATCCTTTGCGCGCGCGAGTTATACACAGCGGCAGCAGCAGCGAAAGCAACACTATTTTTCTTCTGTGTGTTGGCTGAATTCGATTGACTTTTTTTTATATATTCGGCTGTTGTGAATGTGATTCGCACTTTTCGATTGAGGAGAGTAACGACTGTGAAACTCATTCACTGTGTAGTATTTGCATACGATTCGCAGAGTTCAGTCTTGATCGATAGCTTGCTCAGAGAGCAACTGTTTCAGCGGTGTGTGGCTATCTCGTGAAACGTGTGTTTCGTTTTGTGTGTTGTTTCTTTTTCGATGTTGAGTTTTTGCTTTTATTTTGTAGCTATATAATTCGTGTGTACGGAGTGAGATAGAGAGAGAAGAAACATTCGAGCGCCCAATGTTCCACGGAAAATATATTGAATATTTTTGTTTTAGTTTGTAGGAACTTTAAGCTTCAAGTTCATTTGTGTTTAATAGAAAATATGCATAAATTCATAGTTGTTCGTTGAAACGAAGAGAGAAGGAAAAAAAAAAGATTATTAATTTGTGAGTGTGTTTTATTTTTTTGCTTTTGTTCTGGCAAAAAATGCAAATTCAATATAATTACTTGAATAAATAATTACTAAAAAGCACACAAGATGAGATGAAATAACAATCAAGCGAAAAAGAGGCAAAACACTGAACATTCTCAATTATGACGAACTAGTTAATTGTTAACGGTGGTAAAATATTACATATATATAAAAATCTATGGGTTTTTCGACACTTATTTCTGCTCGAAAATACAAAGCATTGAAATCTTTTGATTGTTTTGCGTGTTTTGTTCGGTTTTATATTAAACGAAGGTGCGAGAGCGCGCGTTAATAATATAATAGAGATACAAATTCTGATTTACGCACACCGTCATTTAAATTTCTCAAGTGAATTTCGTAGTAATAAAGTGAGCGTGCACTGCTGGCTGGCTGGCTTGCAAGCAGATTTCGGCGATATAGCTGATGCAATAAAAATTGACAATAACTACGCCATACCATTGTGGTACATATGATTCGATTTTCATCACTTTCAGTTTTTAATGTTGTGGGTATATGAAGAGATCATTTATAATTGATTTTTTTTTCAAGATCGTTTACGATCGCTTGGCTAAATTGGCGACACGGTCTGCATGACCTTTTGTCGTGGTTCATTTTTGATTCAAAATAGACCAATAAAAACGGCAACGAGTCTGTTGAATTAGGAGAGATCATAGCAACAGGCAAAAAATGTTAAGTATCTAATCAATTAAACGAAAAATAATCCAAGAAATATATCACACTGTGAGGGTTTGCGCGTTGGGCGCACGTTGGTGTTGCCATTTCATTTTATTCCATTTGAAATGAAGTGTCTGCAATAAACATACTGTCGCCATTGTTTCTTTTTGCTTCTTCGTCTCTTCATTGGTTTTCCTGTCGGTTTTGATGGTGAAATAACAACCGTCTATAGTCAAAATGAAACATTGATTAATTTTACAGCGGCACAAAATTAAAAGCGTTAAGTCGTTGCTCCATTTTATTCCGTCGTTTTATTCCGATTTTTCATTCCAAGGTTTTTCGCGCGCAAACTTTGATATAATCATCATCATAGACCATCGGTCCATTTGTTGAATTCAAAGCATGTTTGTTTTTTCGGTTTTCTACAAATACGTGCGACTTTTGACGTAATGGAGAACAATTTGGATATCATCAAGCCAAAAATAAACGCGATTGAGAAAAAGTTTGGTTGCCGTTTACAGTATATTATGTTACACAAAATCGAAACAACAATCCGATGATGATGTTGATGATGATCATTTTTGTTGGCAAAACTCTAATTAGTCCAAAGTCCAAAGATGGTAGAGTAATATGTGCAGCTTTTATCGTCTCAACATGGATCTTATTCACATATATGTCCAGTGGTGAGATTAGAATGACTTAATATAGCATCAACATTCGTGCCGAGATAAAAGAGGGAAAAAAGCAAATAGAATGCATATTGCATAACCCACCGATGATTTAAAACTTTGATTCCACACAGCGATTCACTGTTTGATTTATACCAATCAATTTTTTTCTTTTGCTTTTTTAATCGATGAAGCCATTTCGATTATTTCTTTGCGATAAGCACAGATAAATCATTTCATAAACAAAAGCAACACACACGCGTTGTTATTGCATTTATGACTGATTGAAAGATATATATATATAGTCTTAAAGAGAAAAGTGAGAGAGAGAAAAAAATCCGCAGCAGTGAAGAAAAAAAAACCGTTGTCGCCGCCAAAAAACCGAAAGGCCGAAAATTTGTAGACACCTTAATATCAAAACCCATACAAAATGGCAAATTTAGGACACGATCTTATGCAATCTTCTCTGAACCTCTTTTCGCATACCGGAATCTGACTTTTCGGTGACACTTCTGAACGCAACTCCCATTGAATGTGTGTATTGGTGTAGCTTATGATTGTTGTTGTTTTTTGTCTCATTTCTTTCTGTCTTCTTAAGTTTGCGTACGCGCTCAGGCGCACGCGCACACTATCTACTCAACATTTAATTCCCCACGATATGTGAAACTGCATTATTTGGCTGCCGTATGCTGTCATTTGTTCGTCGTATCAGTGTGTTGGTTGCTTTTTTTTCTTCAGTTCGGTTGAACAGATGAAAAAAATCCAGTTTTTAGTTCATTTTCAATACATGAAACAATTTTTCGTCGACCTTTCACTAAATTTAGTTTGGTGAATGTGAACGAAAAGAAGAAAAAACGCCGCCACACGAATCAAAATGTGCACACGATCAATCGAAAATGATAATGATATTTACACTCATAATAAATATGCACCTGATCGTGGCGATTAAATAACATGATCGTGATATTATAGTTTTTTTTTCCTGATTCCAAAGCATTCAGGCATTGAAATAGAGCCAATTTTTTTTTTTATTGTTGTTGTATATCAATCTGTCAGTCAAACTTCAATTGATCGAGCGCACTACGGCTCGTTTGTCTACCTTCTCGCTGGCAAAATATTCGTTGCATAATATATCGCCAAGCACGAACAACAACAATGTCAACGGTGACAACAAGCGTCGTTTCCTTCGTATGTTCAACAACAACGTTCGTCTTCGTCAAAATAAACAAAATTCTTTGGCTTCATTTTCACGGAAGAAGACATTTCAAGCATAAAATCATGTCTAATTTTAAATTTTTCGAGTCTATGAATTGTGAATTAGGAATCATAAATACGTTATAATATCAATACTTAAACCACTCAATACATCATTTACTCTAATTTTTGCAGGCAAAAATTCTCAATCTCGTCTGAATTAATAGAAGGAGAAAAAAAATCTATCATCGTCGATCAACATAAATTCAATCAAAAGAAAACGAAAACGAGAGAGAGAGAGAGAGAGAGAGAGAGAGAGAGAAAAACAAATAAATATTCACAATATGCAGACAAATCGTGATTTTTTCATATTAGTCATAAAATACTATAGGGATTGACCGCGTGAATATTTTAACCATTTGCATAACAAATGAATAGCTCTCGACCGCGAACAAGTTTCAAACTACACTGAAAATGGCTCAAATGGAGAGCATGAGATGATAAAACAAAAGCCACCAGTTGACATACAAAAAAAAATTGTATTACAAAATCGAAATAGTATTGACCGTATCAAAAAGTGACACACATGATTAGTGGTTTCAAAGAGATAATTGATTCATCGAATGCCAAATTCAAATACAGATAGCATCAAACGACTGTGTTGAAATTGATGAATTAAAACTAGGGGCACCTGTATCTTCGCCACAGAAAGAACAAAAGAAAAAAATAACAAAGTCCCAACTATAAACATACACAGAGAGACAAAACACACCGATACAGCAACAACAGCGGCAGTAGCAGCAGCGATTCAGGAATAAAAAATACTGAGAGATACACACACACACACTATCTCTCTCGGTTTTATAATGGCACTAATGAATTTTTCATTGCCGTTTAGTGGTTCAGTGGCACCATCAAATTGGATCACAACAGCAAACCCGCTTCAGCAGCCTCATGCAACAGTTGTCAATGAATTGCTATACAGTCCTGAAGGTCATCAAGCTGATAGCACGGCAAATGGTCCACAATTCTACAAAAATGACCCATATTCACATCCAACACAACATCAGCAACAACAACAGCATCAATCGCCGCACTATCAACGGCAAACATTCCATTATCGATCTCGTGCTACCGCCAACAATTACCTACCGCCACCGCCGTCCAATTTTAATCACGAGCGGCCACCGATTAAATCACAGCACATACCACAATTACAACCACCATTGGAGACCGGCAACAACAACGGTGATTTAAAAACGAGAACTGTCACAAACTACCAAAGTCATCATCAGACGCAAGCATTTGGCGATAGTCGCTACGAGGCACATGAATTTTATAATGAAAACATTAGCAGTAGTTTTAATAATAGTGATGTTGATAGTCAACCACCTGCATACGATTCAATTGTGGCCACAGCAACGCCACAGCCGCCGATAACCAATGAAAAACTAACAATTGAAAATGATGGCAAAACGTACACGTTCCCCGCCAATCGACCAACATACACACAAGTGCAAGCTGGCCATGGCTCAAAAACACAAGTGCATGCGGTCTTGGACTATGATAATGACGAATACTATGACGAAGAGAATGTCGGTAAGCACCATGCGTGTTACAACACACGCTAACACCATGAGCTATTTGAGTGACACTCAAAGCGAGCTCGCTCGTGAATCTCATTTGTGTGTTTCAAATCAAAATTGGCACTTGGAAAAGAGATCGTATCACTTTTATATTTTTTTTTTTTTTTCTCTCTCTCTCTATCTCTGTCTCTGTCGCGCTCGTTTCAGATCCAAAAGATCCATCGCTGACGCCAATTCAAGGTCCAATTTTCATCAAAAATGGCTCCGTTCCAGTAGTTCCTCTATTTTCTTATCCTACTATGAATAACGGTACCTTCATACGGATTCCTGTAAGTTAAAATTGATGATGAATTCTTGTAAGTATCTCGAGGCACTTAGCAACCGTGGGGAAAAATCTCAAGTGGATGGTTATGGTTGCTTTATTTCGTTCGTTAATTCCTTAAAAGTCACGTTCCCAGTGTTGTTCAGCTTCTATTTTCGTTTCAGACATGCACGTAGCATTTGATTTTTACCACTTTTGTTCGCTCCTTGAATTTTTATGTATTAATTTCAACACCCGCACCACTCTTATTCAGCACCCATCAACAGTAAATCTGATAAATAAAAAAAAAAAATTAGAATAAAAACCATACAAGGAGTGAAATTCTGTTCTCTGTTTCTACTTGAAATTTTGCTTTCGTAATTTAAATGCTATGTTCATGTATCAGAATTCGGTAACAGCCTTGCCGTCATCGCCACACACACACATTTAATGTATGTGGTCATTTCTTATTTGGCAACTTGATCGCACTCAATAAGTCTTTTACGAGAGAGTAGCGAACAGCACAAGATACGAAATCAAAAAAAAAAAATAAACCCAAAACAGCACCGGTCAGAAAAGAAAGAAAAATCCAGCAAAAAATACGTTTCGTAATAATTATTATACAATGAATGCATCAACTGAATTTGAGTGGAATATAAATCGATTCAGTTACAACGTGCAATGTTGTCGATGGCAACGAGCAACGATCGTGAAACCACTGTTGATATGCATAAAAAAAATATGATAATCCCATTACGAAAGAAAATTTCAAGACGACTTCAATGCTACAATGCATTAATTCAGATGCAAAAAGGTTAATATATGCGATGATAAATAGACATTGAAATTCGTTTGTATTTTCCTTTTTCATCTGTTTCGTCAGTCATTTGAAGAACCACTTACTGTCGCCGTTTTAATTTTGCATTAGATTTAGATGTATGCCGTTGATACGTTGTACTGCATTTTTATGTATATTCGTTCGTTCATTGGCTTCTTTTTTTATAATATATTCAATGAAAACCTAATACAGATTTGGTGGACAGCATTATCTGTAGCATTGGGCTTAGAGATACGTGGCGATGTTATAAAGGGCACACCATGCGTTAAGCGAAACAATCAACTGTTTTGTCCTACAGCAGGAAATAGCTATCCAATGTAAGTGCTCTCCATTTGAATGCCATTTTCAATATATTCCATTTGATAAATTCGTTATAAATGCGGTTCATCCAAGTTCCTTGTCCAAGCTGAGTGTCTTATTTAAAATGCCTCATTTTTGTATACATTGGTACAGCGAGCGAATTGAAGAGTTCATCGATGAAAATAAAGCGTTAATGAGACGAATGTATGGTGACTTTAGGTCGACACAATTCAGGGAACCACCAATACAAACAAGACGAAAACGTGACGCAACCAATTACGACAACATGCCCGGCATTCCAGATATTACAGCACCGTTCAATGCAAAACTTAACTTGTATCCAGAGGATACGGTGATGGGTGGCGACACGTTCTTTGGTCACATACGAGAAAAACGACAGGCCAAGCAAAACAAAGCAAACCAAAAACCATCGATTCCGAACCCAAATCCATCAACAGAACCATCATCGAATCGGTTAGAGTTTTGAAATGAAAATTGTTGAATGAAATTTTATCGGGAAATTGTTTTATTTATATGTTACAGAGTGGATGCTTGTGAATCGAAAATTGAAATTGTAACGCCTTATTGGGCCTCAAATTCGGCTGGAAAAATCCGTGCCATTGTCAATACTCAACACTTTGAACAGGCAATCCACCAAGAAGTCTGCACGTAAGTATCTACAAAAAGTCTAGATGAATATTTGATAAAAAAAATCAAATTTTTAAGTTTCGCAGTCTCTTACCGTTAGATCATTTCCATAAATATATTGCCGGAATACCAAAAAAAAACAGCCAACGACATCTCTAAACCAACTTATTGAATCATCGAATATTTCGAGCAACTTTTTTCAATCGTGTGTGGCTTGAGTTGAATATAATCAACTTTACGGCGACACTAGCAGCTTCTCTGCACACACACATCGTAGAAGAGAGTACAAAAATCATAGTATTTTGGCAAATGCATCGAGTAACCATTGCAAAACATCAATACGTTTTGGCTAACGTTACTACGGCCCACAGAGAAGCTGCTAGCGTCGTCGTCAAGTTGATAAAGCTATACACGTTTAAAAAAAAGTTGCCGAAAAATTCAATGACTCAATGAGATGGCATTGACTGCTATGTGTCAAATGACTTACATTTGAAATGTATTGTGGCACTATCGCTATGATCATTTCGTGCTAAGATTTATCACCAAGATTCAATTCCATTTTTGAATTTTATTCACAGAAAAATGCAGACAAACCGTTGTGGAGGCGATTGCGGTTGCGAGCAAAAATACAAATGGCATCGGTTGCTTGCTTATGATCCGGACAATGATTGCATGGGTATATTCATGGATTGGTTCCTGTTTCCATCGTGTTGCGTTTGTCGTTGCAATAAAACTTAAGAATCGGCTATTAAAAAACCATATCAGCAGTTCACAAATATTTATATTAGAGTGGATGACTTTTTCTTTCTCTCGCAGACAATGCTAACGAAATTTCAATGTTGAACTGAGTTCAGGCCCTTTTGCACCTTTCTTTTATTCTTCTCAACAGACAATGATAATTAATTTAGCTTTCATTCAGACTATTGCTGCCTTTTTATTCATAATGATTAAAAAAAAAACATTCTATTTGCAGTCCTTCAATTTGAGTTTTCATGATATTCTTAGTTTTTATTCGTGCAAGATGTTACCAATAGTAAGGTTGAAAATAAAAATGTTTTGCTTACAAAAAAAAGAACAAGTAGATTGTTATTAACGTACGAGCTGTGAATAACATTTGAAATCACAGTGAGTATTGATTCTTCGAAGTGTAGCATTTTCCCTCGGTTCCGAAGTGCATTCGTGGAAAAATTGTCTATGTGTGTGCCTCATCAAGCAATTGATATGCATGAACAAGTAAATGAAGAAGAATCCTTATGACTAAACCGGGGACTTTTTTCTGCACCGTTGAGAGAGAGAGAGAGAGAGAGAGAGAAATGTGTTAGGGAATGAGCTATTTTGCTAAAGTATTATTTTATTTTGTTTTCGTCTCCCGACTTGCTTCGACTCTTGCACATGCAATGAATGAATGCATTGGCATTGTGGCCGGAATATAATATACTCCGTTTCTACGATCTAATGTCGACATTCATGTTTCATATATGATTTATTGTGCAGACGATGGAAAAAATATGTCTTGAAGTGGAGAAGTCTAATGTAAGTGGTGGCAAATGGCATCATTGTTAAAGTGCCGCCAATAAAACGCTAGCAAAACGTGTAACATTAACATCGACACCTCAAACACCGTTATTACGCGAAGATACTATATAGCCGGGTTTTATATTGCCTCAACATGTGTAATCCGAGGGTATAATGCTTAAAATTCATAATTGGCGTACATGCATTTTCAACGATTTCTCTCCGTCCATTTGGCCGTATATGTATTCCTTTCTCCTTTTCTCTCTTTCTCCCATTCTCCCGTTCTCTTTCTCTCTGTGTGAGCGTGTGTGTGTGTGTGTATTTGTGCATTTGTGATATTTGCTTTAAAAATTTCATAGACGTTTGCATTCATCTGTATAATATGCGTCAACACATTGCACATACGTAGCCCATGTGGGCATATTTATGAAACTCTATAAATTTCAAGTGAATGAATGAGAAAATAACACGGGAAAACTGAAGAGAGGAAGAGAAAATACTCTATGGTCGCTGGCATCGCACACAATCACACATCGCGCCTTATTCATCATCATATACAAAGCGCATTCCATTCATTGTTCATATCGGGTACCTTATCCTTTATTCATTAAGTATGTTCGTATTCCTCTACTTGCATCTTTCGTGCTGCCTGCTATCGCGCTCCATATTCAATGGAGATGTTGTTGACGATGACGACGACGACGACGACAACAACAGCGACTATGCACTGTTCGTTATTTACATGCTAGCGTCATGTATGAATAACGAGAGAGTGAGACTAACACACACATGTGCGTACAACGTACATTCTCGAGTATCACTCTCACTCTGCGAGATATATGCTAAACAATTGGGCATATACAATACGCAAAGCAATTTCTTTCAATGAAGAAGCGGCAGTCAAATATTGACATTCGAACGATGAAAACGAACTATTCGACCGGGTACCGTTTTCAGTATACAGTGAGGTCATGATATAAACGGTTACATTTACAAATCATAATTTTATGATTTTCATCATAATTTTTATTTTGTTCGATTAAATGATTTAAAGCGATTTTTTTTTCCGTTTTGGTTGAAAAGGTGTCACGACAATACCGGTGTGCATCATAGTGTTTTTTGTGAAAAATGTTTGTGCAGTGAATTATTGATTTAAAGTTTTGAAATTCAACGGAAACGATGATTCTACATATATCCTTTTCACGAGAATCAACGAACAGTTTATTTGCAGTGGCGATGGCAAATAGTTCCATGGAAATGAATAAGTGACATGACTTCTAATATGCAAATAGTACTTGAATTTGAATATTATATTTACTCATCAAGGGAATTTGTGTCTGTCTATTTTAAGAAAATGTCATCATTTGTTAGCTTATGAATGCGACACAACGCGCGAGAGAGAAAAGAAAAACACATATCGATAGCAAACAGTGTTTTGTTGAAATACCGTTCATTCACTAGAAAGTTAAGTGTGGTGTATTTGATCATATTTCCGATTAAGAAAAAAAAAAAAAAAAAGATGGGCCATTGAACCGTTGACAATGTATGCACTTTATTCAAATGGATCTAAAATATCGATAGAGAATATCATCCATGTTTTCCAAGGAAATTCCATTATATTATGAGTCAATAAACTGCATACAGTTAAAAGAAGAAGGAAAAATCAGTAACAACTATGATCAGCGGAATTACGTGTGTAATTTTGCAATCGAATCGATTTCCCAACTTGAGCAATTCGAAACACAAACGAATGCATGGAATAGTTTGAAATTCAGGCGAAAAATAGAGAGTGTGAGTATGTTTAGCACCAACAGAATGAAATTTATGTTTATTTTATTGTTTACAGGTTTGTTTGTTTTTTTTGCTCTCACGTCTCTATCCCTTCGATTTCAACGTTTCAGTAAGAAAAATACACAAAGAAAAAAAAACACACGGAATTATGTTTAGAGAACGGACTACTTGAACCGTATGTATGAGTGTACTATGATGCAGTATGGGTTCACATTAAATTACAGTACATTTGTCTATGAACTATACCGAACGATGTGCAAGTAAATTTTTTCAGTAATGTACGGATCGTCTGTCAGCAAGTCGGCAATTGAGTTTATGTGCGTTTGCATATGTGTGAATCGTTTTCAATCGCTCAAAATACCATATAAATGCACATATTCGGATAGATTTTCCATGTAAACAACACACAATTTTATGTTTCTTCTACACATTTTCTCGTTATGCTTGCCTTTTAAAATCGAAAGTATTAAGAAGAAGACAACGAACGAACGAAAAAGAACCAACAATAACGGTAATGTGAGTGATTGAGCATATGTTTTGTCTTTGTGCCAATATATATATATATATTCCACGGAATATGGCGGATGATGCCGTTTTATCAACATACATTTTTGATTTGCTTGTTTGCCAGCATCTCTTTTAATCAGAAAGGCGCCATGCATTTCAATTGTCGATATGTCGGCCTCACGAAAGAAAAAACTATTCTGCCACTGCTGCTGCTGTAGAGTGCACACGAATCAATATAAACCAAATGAACAGATTACCAACAAATTTCAAGTGAACACAAAAAAAAAGTGTGTGCTCATTCTTGTTGTGTTTGTGTTCCCTTCAACAAGGAACAAATGAGCTATCATTTACACACTGCCTGTGTGTAATCGGGCAATGTAAACAATTATTATTATTATTTGTTTCTGAATAAATATTTAAAATGCATTATTGCCATTATGCTTTTTTTCCGTGGCTGCATGCTGAGCGCGCGCGTGCTGTTACAGAGGGGAATTCAACTATGTGTATGAACAAGATATGTTTTATCATACTTTGCAGTTCGTTTTAAAATACATATAAATGTGTGTTGCGTCTCTTGTTTCTGCGTAATACATGTGCTCGAAACCAAGTTAATCCGAACAAATGTTGATATTGTTCAATTGCATTGTTCACTCTCGCTATTGTCTTTTCATCAATTTTATTAATGGTGATAGATAATCGAATGAAAACAAGAGAGCGAGAGCGACATTCAGACAGAGAGTGAACAAAAAATCTGTGTACACATTGTTCCATCAATTTATTATTATATTGTTTGGCCATTGTTGAATTGGGAGTTTAAATCGCAGTTTTTTTTTGTCACTTTGCTTGTGTCAGCAGCTTGATTCCATGACTTCAATTAGTGAATATTAAATTTATAGTCAAGTTGATTTAAAATATTCAATTGAACTGAATTCAATAATGGTGGAAGATGATGCCGCATCAATGGAATGAAATCTTTTTTCCATTTAAATTTATTGGGTGGCCAGTAATTTCTTCATTGCATATTTTTCAATTCAATCTATTGAGTGGTTCATGCATCATTTGGGAAATTGAAAAATAGAACAAATAAAGAACTCAAATAGAGGAAGCTCGAATGCGTTTCCCGTTTGCTGCAACCAACGCAATGGCTATGCCGGCAAAACAAATAGTACGGCAATATCATTGTTTGTGCTCGAGTGTAGCACACACACACTCGCGATTGAAGACGCAAACCAATGCCCCTTTTTCTCAGTTTCATTGACGTTCGCTAGAGGGCCTCTCTCTTTTGAACGCATTCACACATAAATTCCAAAGAGAATAGAGTGTTGTAAAATCATTGAATACATTTCTCATTTGCATCAACACAATGCAATCGAATTAACGCAGACATAGAGCAAGATACCTGGTATTAAAGTGGGTTAAATTCGAATGCATTCATTCCTTTATTCATAATTTGTCGAAAATTGAGATTAATCCGAGATTATTTCAAAATCATTATCTAAACAGGCTTACTAACATTTCAGACACATTCCATTTAATCTGCACTATATTTGACGCATTGTCTTGGCTGGCGTTTAAACACAGAAATAGATTGCTGAAAGTTTTCTCTTTCACATTTAATTGATAGCACTCAATTCAAATGCTAAAGAGCAGTGTATTTCTTATCAATTCCCATTCATTCAAGTGATCACACACAATACCCACTCTTGTATTGAATGTGGCAGGCTGTTGAAATGAATAAAAAAAAATGATACTCCGGTCGTATTTAAATCGGGACAATGTCGATGAAAGTTAATCAATTCTAATAAAAAAAAGTCTTATAGCTATAGATGTGGTTGATTTTGAACGTAGATCATTTACTCTTCATAAAAATTTGAAAATGTATCAAAAACTGACTGCAAGTGGCAACATGAATGGTATACAATATTAAAATTAGAAAAATGCTACTGCTGCTTTTTGAATATCCAAGAAAAATGAAACGACTCAAGTCTTTTGAAAATGATATTTTTCTTCTAATCGTAAATATTAAATCGTTTATATCAAACCTTGTAAATCACATCTTTTATTAGCGAATTAATTCTCTAACATAGTTGTATGCTACAACTTGTATCAATAATACAGTGTATCATGTACGTATTATGATTTTGAATATGAACAAGATCTTTTTTTTCATGTAATTAAAAGGATATTTTGAATTGATATGAAATTTAATTGTTTCATAAAATCATGTGAGTCTTGGCATATGGTGTAAATCCTGTATTTGCCGTCTTTTTTTTATGAAAAAAAAACTTTCTTCGTACAGTGAAAGCCATTTTTTTGCTTTCTACAGTCAATTTATTATACGTTTAAATGCGTGAGCAATTAAACTGCAATGGGATCACATTTTTATTAGAAAATATGTTACCTTGCAAGACCTCAATACATTGTTTCTTAGAACCAAGTAACCAGCACACCGCAGTGTATGAAATGCAGACGAAATTGCTTCGATTATAAAAATGAGAATAAAAGTGGTGGTTTTGCGTGTATTACACTCTTTTCGCTGTGTAATTTCTCTCAGTCCACCCGTCTCAGCGCGTGTATGAAAAATCATTGGTTCCCATGCCACCATATTGCGATTTATTCAAATGTTATTACAAATTAAGCTCATTACGGGCTTCATTTATTTCGCATAAAATTTAATTGCTCCGTATAAATTCTCTTAATTAGGTTCATTAGAAATGGTATTTTGGATGTTTGTTTTCGGCAAAAGACACAGACAAAGACTAAAAGTCTTCTCGAATTCATTCAAACATATAAACATTGTAAGAGTCCATTCATTCGTATTCGTGTGTTTGAGTGCGTAGCGATGCTACCACAACATTGATTGGTATGCTGGAGCCACTTCTTGCAAAAGACGAAACTTCATTCATCGACAAACACACATGAAGTGATTTTCTAGTGGTCGAGCCCAAAAATTTTCGCAATAATATAAATCGGATTGATTAAACTGTAGTTCTGAATGGCACTACAAGCTTTTGATTGAATGAATTTCGAACCATCGTCCGTACACACATTGTTTCCATACACATACAAGAATTTATTCCGTACCGAGTATGATTCGAAATGGTGTTTACTGCAGAAAAGTTCATTCCCAACGAAATCTGCTTAACGGAAACTTGTTCTTGTGGCATTACAAATCGTTTTATTGCAGTCATTTTTGCACAAAAACCTCATGCAGTCTATCAAAAGTTTTTCCTCATATTCTATTTCTCGTTCATTACCGGCAAGTATGGGCACGTATTAAAAGTTCTGTTTTGTTCCATTGTTTTCGAACTTACCTATCGAATTGTGAGCGAATTGCACTCGAGACATCGAAAATAATATTCGCCAAAATGATACTAATTGAATCGTTTCATTTGCAAGATGTTTTTCTTTTAAATTCCCATTCTGCTCTGATTAAAACGAGAAATGCACAAGCATATGGAACGTCATCGAAAACAAATTCGAAAAGATAACGCCATTAAATGCCACAAATGAAGCAGAAAATGGCCAAAAATCGGCGGACTTTGTTAAAATAATCGTTCCATAATAACAGCGGAAAAGGCAATAAAAAAATCAAATCTCTTTTGGGTCGGAAACGCCCGAATTTTCAGCTACGTTCATTCGCGTAGTGCGACTGTAGTCTAACAAGCATATCTAGCTTATCTTTATTTAGGAATGGTTCTTAATGACGACGTTCTTCATTTTGCCAAGATTTATCTCAGTCTGGCTCTTTCCGCTGATGTTTTTCGTTCGTTCCCCTCGCTGGATCCGGCGAATTGTGGCAAATTACTTAATCAATATTCAAGTCTGTATTTTTCCACTGCAAACAAACAGAAAATTTAATTTTTTTTCCCTCATTTGGTCATTGAATTGAAACTTTGTTCTTCTTTTTTAATTACAGAGCCTTGAAACGTAAATCCGATCAAGTGACATATCGAAAAGTGGAAGAAAATCGAACATGATTACGAATCAAAACAATTATCCGGACAAAAATCACAAGATCGTTGCTGCTGCTTCTGCCACTGCAATGATTAAATCACCTCTTCGAAAAACTACTCGACTGAATCACCTGCAAGCGGCACAAACAACGTCGCAGCCCCTACAAAAATATCCACTTGTATCGATACGTGAGTGTGAAGGCGATTCACGTGAGCATCGGGAGAACGGCATTGCATCGGCACAAGTACAGCAATCAAACGTTCAATACAAACAGTCTCGAATACCGACAACGACAACGATGATGACGACGACGACGACGCGCAATTTTAATCAAATTTCGAAAGCACCGACAAATTTATGGCACGGAATATACGAGAAGCACTTGTTGAACCAGACGAAGTTCGAACGAATTGTGGATGACAAATGGGCAAACAAATGTGCATCAAATGGGCGAAAAAACCGAGAGACTGGCGTCAGTAATACTCAACCAACTGAAACCAATTTCAATAATAATTTGTATCAAAACGAGCTACGGATGGTGGCATCAACACCGCTACCATTGCTAAGAGCAGAATTGCATTCACAGTCTGCATTATTGCGTCGACATATTGATCCTCAATTGACAATCGCCGCTGAACCATGCATAGCAAAAAAGAGTGTAAAATTCCGCCTGACAAATCGTCCACCAATTCCATCGGCCGAACAGCAACATTTTCATAAGCAAATCAATTTTTTTGATGCTAATGCATCATCTACGGGAAAAATGTTACCGGAACAAATAAACAAAAGTGCACCGAATGATTTGCGCCATGGCCACACAACGACAACGACGACGGCGATGGCAGCGGCTAATGTTTGCATGCAAGCGGCCGAACAAAGACACCGCCTTTATGCATATTCGAATGAAACACAAATTCCAAATGGAATGGGTTTTGTGTATGTGCAGCCGGGTGTAATTGAAAAGAATAAGCTTTTTTGCCCGTTACCGCTCAACGGCTACAACGGTCACAACAAACAAATAAAGAGTGAAATCAACGACGCCGATTGTCAGCTGTACAAAAACACGGGTGGTGTTGGTGTTTTGAATCAACCGTATAATAGAATTAGTGGCAATATTTGTTTGGAACGTGGCCAACGTGGACAACCGATCGGAGGGAGTCACAGTCACCGTGAAGATTCTTTATCAGCGCCAGCATTGGGCAGCATTGCAAAAACGGCATCACTTTCGGTTGTATCTGGTGTGAATGCCAAAGTCGCATGTAATACTACATTCGTGAATGCCTTAACAACATCGAGTGCTTCTGGTGGTGGTGGTGGTGAATCAACGCCGGCCACAAATTCTGAATACACAAGTAACAGTAAAATTAATATAATGCTGGAAACGGCACAAGCGATGGCAGCAGCTGCTTATTTTGCAAGGTTGGTTGTTACACAATAAATTCACAATAATTTATTTCCTTTCGTTTTGTTGCCTATACTTTTCCTTTTTCGTCTTTTCTTCGGTGCCATCTTCGTCGCTGGTGCTTTTTTCGCCATTTCGTTCGTTCGTTTTTGTTTTAATTTCTTTGTTTTGTTTCGTTCGCATTCTCGTCTCCTTGCATTCGATGTATCGAAACATGAGTGGTGCAGGAACTGGGAAGAAGTGGCGCGGCATCACACAACATAAGATACACATAAGAATGAAAAATAAAGAAAATTGCTCACTGAAATTTGTGGCAAGTGGAAATGGAAAAATCGCAAACGATAAACATATCTCGAGCAAAGAAAGAAAGAAAGCAGAAGAAAGAAAAAAACAATAATAAAATTGAAATACGAGTTTAAGAGAGACTCGATGTGCCGTGTATTTGTATGCTTTGGCTTGAGTATGAGCACTGCTTTTCTTTCCATGTTGACTTTTTTTCTCCTGACATTATGACTCTGTCTCACTCCCTCTACAAGCTTCAATGTGTTATGATTGCCATTATATGCGCTGTAGGTGCTACATAGCGCGGTAGCGCAGCAAATGTGTGTAGATGTGTGCTGAGCAAAAAAAAAAAACATTTCAAAACCATAAGTTACAATTCCGACTTTTGGCTTATTTCATTGCTATAACAAGTCGAGCGCAACCAGCAAAAACTGCACACAATGTGATGAAGAGAACGAAGGAAAAGAAAAGAAAAAGGAAAAAAAAAACGCCGAACATCACAAGAACTCTACGAGATAAGAAGAACTGAATCAATTTAATGGCAAGAATCATATATTCATATTGCAGAGCGCTTTGGATTGGAAACCATTTGAATAAATTATTTTGCCATGGAAATGGTTTTGTGCCAAGAATTCCAAGAACGGGATAAGTTTTATAGCCTTCCCGCGGATAATTGTTTTCACATTTCTTTTTCCCATGGTGAACTTGTTAAATTTTAACATTTTGTGTGTTCCGTACGAGTGAAAAGACTTTGCGGAAAACTTGTTTCAGTTGACAAGATCGCTGCTTGTTTCAGTTGCAATTGTTCATTTGGATTCAAATTAATATTCCATTATCTGGAAGCCCATGCAATTTACGCAACCTTCTGTTCAAACGGCATCTTTACGAAGGTCTTAAAACGAATGTGTGTAAACGATAAAGTCCCGTTCATTTCTTGCCGTTGATCACTGCTGCACCGTTTTTTCTTTGTTCTCTGTTTCTCGGCTTTTAAATTTCGGAATCCGGTCGGTTGTTTTTTTTTTTCATCGTCTCTTCTTCGAGCAGATTTATGTTGACACAGCTGTAACAAATGTAGTTCTATAACCGTTATCTACAGTCCGAAAACAAGTAAATTTTCTCGCTTCTTCTATTTTATTCAATTTGTTTTCAAATGCTTAAAACTATCAATTGTTGAACTGGAATACTTTTCCGCCCCAGAAATTTATAAGTCATTATATGGTGTTCGGCTGTGTTTGGTTCGAGCATTCCACCCTCGATAAAGTCTAATGTTTTCACCAGTAGCACCACCAGCAACAGCCATAACTCAATGTTTTCAATTTTCCTTTTTGAACGGAGAAAAAAAAATGAAATAAAATTTGTTAAGTCCATGGTATTTACATCTTGGCTCCAGTCAAACACTCTATTTTTCTTCCCTTGCAAGAATTCCATTTTTGGTTGTCAAGTGACTCCCGTTTGGTGCACTTTCATTTTCGTATTATTTCGAATGGGACTCCCGATGCTGTGTTGCTGTGTGATGCCGAACCAAAACACACTGAAACAATTGAAGAGCAATACACAATATTCACAAGTTAATACCATATAAATTAAGTCAAAGAGACAAAGAGACGAACAGGCTAGACAGCATGTTAAACGGTGAACAACAAATGCAGAGCACGGGCAGAGGAAAAATAAAATCGAAGCACTGACACAGGAAATGAATTTATTGTTTGACAGTGCCGAGCATTTAGTCCTCTTTCACTCCCTCTAATGGAACAATGATTCGCCGCTATGTTACAGAAATGCGAATGCGAATCTGAATCACACGCCAAGTGAAACACTTGTGAAATTTCACAAGAAAACTTCAGCGACATGAACATTGAATACCGAACACAATAACCATAGTCTTTTGATGATTTGTTTTACTAGTACTTTGGAAATTATTCTTGCTGCTGCATTTTCTTCATAAATCTTTTCAAAAGTATTCGCTTTCATCGGTTCGGCATGTCTTCTAACAGAGAATGTTCTAGTCAGTTCTAGTGAAAACAATTATTTCGTTTTGCCTTTTTTACTCAACAAATTTTTCTCATGATTTGAGCAAGAGCCAGAGAGGCAGAGAGATTCGATGAATTCCAAAAGTTTTGGGATACGAAACCAACCAATTGAAATATGGGATTGAATTTGATTCGTTTCCTGTATATTGAATTAGGATTATTATCCGTAAATAAAACACATCATTTGTACAAGTGAGTGTGATCAACAAAAGGAGCTCCGGCATCATTCTGACGAGAGAGAGAGAGAGCGATGGAGAGTGAGAGTAATAATGTCAAAAGTCAAAGTTTGGATGGATATGAGTCAAAGTAATGATGCAGACGCGTGTCAGATACACATAACATTTCCTGCGAGCCAAAACATTCACTGTGTGTATACATAGTTGTCATGAAAAGCCGACATTCAGACATTTTGCTGCGTAGCCTCGGAATGCGTGTGACTGATACACAGCATCCAATATGTTTACCATTCACACTTTGCCATATATTATTTTCGGAAATCACACTGTGAAATCGAGCAACCGCTCAACGTCTGCGTGAAATGCGAGATACAAAAGAAAGTCGTCGTGTCAGTGCTCCATCCCGACAGATAATGAGTGTAATTAGTTTTAGTGAATATAAATGAATTGTTTATTGGAGAAAAGCATGTTGAGAAATTGTTTTCTTGTTTGCCTTACTTGTTCTGGGTCTGAACGAGTGAACGCGTGTGTTATGGCCCCAAAATGCGTGCCAGTCCCGCTTTGTTGCTCTTTTATGTACCATCGAAATATATTGACTTCGATTCGAAACGCTACCGAACCATAACAACCACCGAAACGGATGCTTACCAATGTGCTTATAAATAGATTCATATGAGGGCAAATAAGGAATGGAAATTGAATGACGACATCCAAATTCGGCAGGCTGGCGTGTGCAGGCAGTCAACGAAGCATACGACAACACAATATGCGACAACAATATGTTGTTGATTAAATCAGTGCACAAATTTGCTCAATAATATAGATTTCCACAAAGTAATGAGTTTCAAGTGATTTAGTCAAAGCCAAAGCCAACCGGTGTGTAGTGAGCTTATGCTAAAATCTGTGTACCACCGTAGATTTGCAACAACAATTGAATTTGATTGCGCGGATTAAGTTGAATTAAATCAAAACGGTCTCTTTTTAATCACATCATGTGTGAAGTGGCACATAAATTTTGATTAATCAATAAACCTCATGCTTCAGTATTTGAAACTTTGACTATGCATATGCACACATTTTATTATTTCCCACAATTGTGCAGTAAACTTTGAATTTCTTCTGGAAACTATAAATTTCCACTGTCGATGCATCTCGTTTGTTTATTTCATTCGATTTCAAGCGGAATATTGCTAATAGATCGATTGCGATCATAAAATCAATCCTAGCTTCAGATTCAGTCATCGAATATTTGAGCGGTTTTCAAATAAAGCGTTCGATTGCGGCTTCAACACATTGTCGACATTGCTTCACAACGAGAAAATTACTACACTCGATTCATATCGCATCAAAATGTTATTAGCGAATATTCCGTGCTTGCATGCATGTGGCTCTTTCTCTCTCTCTCTCTCTCTCTGTGTGTGTGTGTGTGTGACAAAATCTCAAATAATTTCATTTTGGATTGTGCATGCACACAATTTTTTTTATGATAGGGAAATTGTCTTGATTTATATGTTATCCGTTGACAAGCTTTTCTCCATATTTCAATTTATACTCGTATGCGCGTATTCGACGGTGCTATGGCTGTGTACGAATGAGTGTGTGTGTGTGTGTGTGTGTCGTAAATCTCGAAAAATTTCGTGCTGCGTCGTATTTTGTCATTTGTTATTTTGGAGCAAAAGTTCTTCGGGATATTTTACTACCGAAACGCTGCCGAACAGCAATCATTTATTATGTTCAACGTTTTATGTCATCGTGAAAATCATGGAATTATGATTCGAAAATCTTTATAAAATGTCAAAACGTGACATTTATGAAAATCGCTCGTTAAACGGTTCCACTGACACAACGAGCCACATTTTGATATGGATTTAAATCAAAGCGGTAAACTATGAAATCAACTCGAAATATGCATGGCAAAAATTTCAGTCATTCAATTTTCTATCTAATACACAAATAGATCCCTTCGAGCAAACGCATTTGGAATTTGATGGTGATTGCATCATCCATGATGGGTGTATAAAATTGTATTCATGTTCGAGGTTTGCTTAGAGCAAAGTGCGGCGGAATGAGAACCTTGAATTATCCAGCAAATGAACAAAATACACAGGCATCGAGCAGCAACTGAATACACTCGAGTCGTGCGGTTTTCGGTGTACAGCATTAATTTGTGTTGGATATAGCACTCATTCGTGTAATCGCACTTTTTTTTAAAAAATATTTGCCGCCGAGCATAACATCTCGATGCGTTTCATTATCCTTTATCATTAAAAGCAGAGAAAAAACTGTTTGAAACACTGTCTCTATTCATAAGTTGGTTGCATGAAATGGTAAAGTTTCCCATAAAATCTTTCAAGTGCGTAATTTGTTTGAAATGAACGCTAAATGACCATAGCGCGAAATTTATGCGCGAACAAAATGAGCTGTTCAATGAGTGATAGTCAGTTTGCGCTCGTGTTGGTTCTTTTCAGTCATTTTCATTTTTTTGCCTTCGTTTTTTGTTCGAAAACTGATCAACTATCGCCAAAAAGC